GTTTGTGGTTTCGAGAACACTGTCCAACCATCTCGTCCTCTGTCGTCCCCTTCTCCTTGTGCCCTCCATCTTTCCCAGCATCAGGGTCTTTTCCAGGGAGTCTTCTCTTCTCATGAGGTGGCCAAAGTATTGGAGCCTCAGCTTCATGATCTGTCCTTCCAGTGACCACTCAGGGCTGATTTCCTTAAGAATGGATGCGTTTGATCTTCTTGCAGTCCATGGGACTCTTAAGAGTCTCCTCCAGCACCATAATTCAAAAGCATCAATTCTTCGGCGATCAGCCTTCTTTATGGTCCAGCTCTCACTTCCATACATCACTACTGGGAAAACCATGGCTTTAACTATATGGACCTTTGTTGGCAAGTTGATGTCTCTGCTTTTTTTGCTTTTTTTTTTTTTTGATTATGATAATACTTAAGGCCAAAAAAGTCCATCATTACCAGGAGCTCTGAATTTCGGTTAAGAAATTTCCATGACCTGGAAAAGAATAAATTCTGCAACCTGAACTCATGCAAACCTGGTAAATTATTATCATTTCAATAAGAAACATTTTTTCATTGTAAGAGTTTGGATTTGATATCCCGCTTTATCACTACCCGAAGGAGTCTCAAAGCGGCTAACATTCTCCTTTCCCTTCCTCCCCCACAACAAACATTCTGTGAGGTGAGTGAGGCTGAGAGACTTCAGAGAAGTGTGACTAGCCCAAGGTCACCCAGCAGCTGCATGTGGAGGAGCGGAGACACGAACTTGGTTCACCAGAATACAAGTCTACCGCTCTTAACCACTACACCACACTGGCTTCCTTGTAAACTACTGTCTTGTAGTTTTTTACTTTCTTATTTGCAGGGGAACAGAGAGGGAAGCAATGGTGTGCAGGAGCACATGGAGGGAGAAAGCAGCCGTCAGAGGAAGGAGCGGAAAGTTGCACCAAATGACAAAGCCCTGCTTCTTACATGCTGCAAATGCTCCCATACTGGGGCTTCTCTGTGAAACCATCTTGCCAATGTGTGCAGCCTGTAGCTGCCGTTGGTGTCAGGTGAGTTCCGCGTTAGTGACTGAAAGCAGACCAGCTTCTTCACTTGCTAAAAAGCTGTGATGTGAAGTGCTGCAAACTGAGCTCACGGACTTCTACCTTTCAGCAAGTGCTCAACACACACGGCCCATTCTCACTTTTTGTAGCGGTGGACATCAATGACCTGTCCACCACCGTTTTAATAAGGCATGTGTGCTGCCACGAAAGAGAATGCAAGGTCGCGGCCCCATCTGCGCCATACACTCAAAGCAATATCATACCACTTTAAGTGGCCATGACTTCCCCCTAGGAATCATGGGAACTGTAGTTTCTAAAGGGTGCTGAGAGTTGTTAGGAGGAAAAAAACAAACCCATTCTCCTCACAAAGCTACAATTCCCAGAGTTTCCCGGGAAGAGGGATTGTTAAATCACTCCAAATTGTAGCTCAGTGAGGGGCTTCTGGGAGTTGTAGTCCAAATCCTGGGCACCAGCTTGGGAAAGGCTGACATATACAGAAATAATTCCGTACCTATGTTGCACAATATATAGGCAAGCCCCAAGTGATACCCATCTCTTGTCTTCTCAAGGGACTGAATTTCCCTGAGAAGAGTAAATCAGCAAGCAGACAGACCGTGCTCCTTGCCCAGCCAATCCACTGCTTTGCTGTATGATATATGCTCCCCTGGCTCTCCTTATATTAGGATAATGAGCCAGCACTGACATTTCTGTCTCTGCTGTCAGGCCAGCAGAAGGCCTAGATTGGTCCTATTCCAATATTATCAGGCAATTAACCTTGACATAAGTCTTTTCTTTCCAGAAGCCTGTTAGTGCTCTTGGAAATTCAATTTTTTTCTTGATAAGGGGGATTCAGAGAAGGGGTGAAAAATTATCACCTACCACGAAGGATGTTAGTATCTTAAATAAGGAGAGTGCAGGTATTGTTAAGCCACTCTTATCCTCACCAACGCAGGGGTGTGGGGAACTGCTAAATGGAGGACGTTTTTGCCCTTTTGTTACAGAATCTACGGTATTTAGATTAATTCCTACAAAGGTAAGATCACAGTTATTTGTGTCCTGGTAACTTCCAGTTTAAACTACTGCAATGTGTTGTATGTGGGGCTGCCCCTGAAGATGGCCCAGAAATGTCTGTTTGCGCAAAAGGCAGTTGCTGTGAACATATCTCCAGATGTTCAGAAAGAACTCCACTGACTTCCTGTTCATGACTGAGCTCCATTCATGGTCTACTGCTTGGTCTACTGCTCCCACATCACCATGTCCATGCTTTAAGGCAAGCTTCCCCAACCTGGTGCCCTCCAGGTCCCAGCTACAGCATACATTTAAAACACATGGCTTCCTCCAAAGAATTCTGGCAACTGCAGTTTCTTTAGGGTGCTGGAAATTGTAGCTGTGTGATGGGAAAACTAGAAATTGCAGTTATCTTGAAAGCCAGCATGTAGGAACTTTGCATGGACCAGGACTTGACATTGGTCAGGGTTTAAAAAGCACCAAAGGCTTCCAGTCCATTTTGGAGCACAGTTCAAAGTATGGATGCTTATATTTAAAGCCCTACATAACCTGGGACCCAGGAAAAATGTGGGAACACCAATCTGCCTTTTCAGAGGCTACTTTCTGGGATAGCACCTGGACCTTCCAAGTGTCCCTATTTTCCAGGGACTGTCTGGGACTTATAGAAGCCGCCCCAATTTCTAATTTGATCCTGGGATGTCCCGCTTTTCCTTAGGATGTCCCTATTTTCATTGGCAAAATGTTGGAGGGTATGATAGGATGCCCCTATTTTCATCAAAGAAATGGTGGAGGGTATTGGAGTTATGTGACCCCCAAGCTGATAGGTAACTATACAACCTTTAGAGGACATCTGAAGGCAACCATGTATAGGGAAGATTTTAACATTTAATTTGTTTATGTTTTTTTATATGTTGGAAGCCTTCCAGAATAGCTGGGGCAACTCAGCCAAATGGGTGGGGTTTAACACAACAACAACAACAACAATTGAATAGGACATCTCTATTTTCATTGGATAAATGTTGGAGGGCATGCGTTTCCTCTGAGTACACCTGCAACAATCCTTTGCATCTGTGAATCAGAGGGCAGATCAGCAGTGACAGGCAAACTGTCTCATCTGCTGTGACAAGCTTCGATCTAAAGGAAACCTATAACTTTCCGGAACAAAGCTTGAAATCCACTACTACAGAACAGAAAGACCATAGGGTAGGCAATAGCATCATGATTTGTGTTTGCATTTGTCTGTACAAATTCCACTTTAATCAGGGTCACCAACTCTCCAATTGATGGAAGAAGACTTCATTTGGGCACTCACTCAGTTGCACAAGCCTAATTGATAATCCAGCGTGATATAATAATACTGCTGCTGACGTCCCACTGGAATGCTACCATGGTGCTGGATCCAATAAATCACTGCAATCTTTAAAAGGAACGTTAAATGAGCACTGCATTATAAACCACAAAGCACATTAATCACCCTGCTACAAACCGTAAATATGACAAGTACATCCATCAACCCAGCACCTTTCTTTCAGGTCCACGTACGAGCACGTTAGCAAGTTAATGGCTTTAGAAAGCCCGCCTTTCTTTAATATACACCCTTGGCATACAGAGTCTTTTATTAATCATGGTTATGGGAATTAAGGTCTTGGCTCAGCTTTTCACAAGTACTACTTAGGCACTAAAGTAATTTGTGGGCTCCTTTTTCTGAATCAAGGCCATCTATGAGAAACCTCTGCCCATCTAAGGGTGATTTGGCTTATCGATTTGGCTCAAGTGCTCAGAACCGGGAAAAGTTTGTTCCCTTGTCAGTCGCATTAGCATGAGTCAATAGTCTGGTGTCAGAGCTGCTTCCTAGCCTGTTAGAGGCAAATCTGAACTAATGTAGGAAAAACACTTAAAATTGTTCTGCACGGCTGCTGTCCCATGGTCGGCCACAACAGTGTGCCACCCCCATGCCAAAGCACATGGTATTTAAGAAGGGCTGTGGCTGGGCTTGTATGTTTGTCTCATGTCCGGATCAAAAATCAATCCAGCAAATACAATCAGTATTCACTGTTCCTGTCAGTTCACCAACAATAAGGAATTTATTATGCCCCTCCCTCAACTTGCACTGTTTCCTCTGTGCTGAGAAGAACAGGGCGGAATAAGGTAATGGCAAGGTAATTCACGTAATTAATTACATAAATTAGGTAAGTTATGTCATTTCAGCACAGGGGACAGTGAGACAAAGAAAGGTGTTTTTGGCGGATGCCAAACTGCAGCAGGACGGAAGCAGCGCTGCATGCGATGGATACAGAGTGGAGCAGGAAATGGTGCATTTTTACAACCCTGGCCTCCACTCCCAGCTTGCATTCCTGGCAAAATATTATGGCATGTCAGGGGTGAAAAAGAGGGAGTTCCCAGGATGCTAAAAATATTACAGAGTAGCTCCTTAACTGCTCATCCACAACAGGAGGCAGGCCTGCATTTCCCTGTCTTTGCCTGCATCCCACTATCTCCCTGAACTATGCTGTCAGGGACTAGCTGGAAAATGAGGAGTGGTGAGAAGCCCCAGAAGAGGAAGGCTCAGAGCCAGGGGAGGAGTGCTGGTGGAGCACTGAAGAGGATGAAGGGGGTGGGGAAAAAATGGTTGGATGCGGAACAAGCAATAGGCTTGAGTGAGAAAGAAGAAGAAGAGGCAGAAAGCACTGCAGATGTAGGGCAGGCAGCTGAGGGGGCGGAGGGGGCTGAGTTAAGCACCAGATTCACAGGACCCTGCCAGTCCTACTGTATTCAGTTCTCCTCCTCCCTTGTCTCCAAGAGCAAGAAGGGGTTTGCATGTAGCAGAGCAAATAGCACCGAGAACACAGGGAGCCCCTCCCAGAAGGAGTTAAAGACTGCAGAGAAAATAGCTGGGGGAGACATTGGGAAGTGGGAGGCACAGATTAATTCTGGCAACTGCTTTACTGAGGCCAGTCTTAGAATAGAATCATAGAATCATAGAATCATAGAGTTGGAAGAGACCACAAGGGCCATCGAGTCCAACCCCCTGCCAAGCAGGAACACCATCAGAGCACTCCTGACATATGGTTGTCAAGCCTCTGCTTAAAGACCTCCAAAGAAGGAGACTCCACCACACTCCTTGGCAGCAAATTCCACTGTCGAACAGCTCTTACTGTCAGGAAGTTCTTCCTAATGTTTAGGTGGAATCTTCTTTCTTGTAGTTTGGATCCATTGCTCCGTGTCCGCTTCTCTGGAGCAGCAGAAAACAACCTTTCTCCCTCCTCTATGTGACATCCTTTTATATATTTGAACATGGCTATCATATCACCCCTTAACCTCCTCTTCTCCAGGCTAAACATGCCCAGCTCTCTTAGCCGTTCCTCATAAGGCATCGTTTCCAGGCCTTTGACCATTTTGGTTGCCCTCCTCTGGACACGTTCCAGTTTGTCAATGTCCTTCTTGAACTGTGGTGCCCAGAACTGGACACAGTACTCCAGGTGAGGTCTGACCAGAGCAGAATACAGTGGCACTATTACTTCCCTTGATCTAGATGCTATACTCCTATTGATGCAGCCCAGAATTGCATTGGCTTTTTTAGCTGCCGCGTCACACTGTTGGCTCATGTCAAGTTTGTGGTCAACCAAGACTCCTAGATCCTTTTCACATGTACTACTCTCAAGCCAGGTGTCCCCATCTTGTATTTGTGCCTCTCATTTTTTTGCCCAAGTGCAATACTTTACATTTCTCCCTGTTAAAATTCATCTTGTTTGTTTTGGCCCAGTTCTCTAATCTGTCAAGGTCGTTTTGAAGTGTGATCCTGTCCTCTGGGGTGTTAGCCACCCCTCCCAATTTGGTGTCATCTGCAAATTTGATCAGGATGCTCTTGAGTCCATCATCCAAGTCGTTGATAAAGATGTTGAATAAGACCGGGCCCAGGACAGAACCCTGTGGCACCCCACTAGTCACTCTTCTCCAGGATGAAGAGGAACCATTGATGAGCACCCTTTGGGTTCGGTCAGTCAGCCAGTTACAAATCCACTGAGTGGTAGCATAGTCAAGACCGCATTTTACCAGCTTCTTTACAAGAATATCATGGGGCACCTTGTCAAATGCCTTGCTGAAATCAAGGTAGGCTACATCCACTGCGTTCCCTTCATCTACCAGGCTTGTAATTCTGTCAAAAACGAGATCAGGTTAGTCTGACATGACTTATTTTTCAGAAATCCATGCTGACTGTTGGTGATCACAGCATTCCTTTCTAGGTGCTCACAGACTGTTTGCTTAATGATCTGCTCCAGAATCTTCCCTGGTATTGATGTCAGACTGACTGGGCGGTAATTATTTGGGTCCTCTCTTTTCCCCTTTTTGAAAATAGGGACAACATTTGCCCTCCTCCAGTCTGCCGGGACTTCGCCTGTTCTCCAGGAATTCTCAAAGATGACTGCCAGTGGTTCTGAGATCACATCTGCCAGTTCTTTTAATACTCTTGGATGCAGTTCATCTGGCCCTTGAGACTTGAATACATCTAAACTAGCCAAGTATTCTTGTACTATGTCCTTAGTTATTCTGGGCTGTGTTTCCTTTGCTGAATCATTTGCTCCAAATTCTTCAGGTCGGGCATTGTTTTCTTTATCGGAGAAGACTGAGGCAAAGAAGGCATTGAGGAGTTCAGCCCTTTCTGTGTCCCCTGTTTGCATTTCACCATCTTCTCCTCTGAGTGACCCCACTGTTTCTTTGTTCTTCCTTTTGCTACGGACATACCCATAAAAGCCTTTTTTGTTGCTTTTAACCTCTCTAGCAAGCCTGAGTTCATTCTGTGCTTTAGCTTTTCTGACTTTGTGTCTACACGTGCTGGCTATTTGTTTGAATTCCTCTTTGGTGGTTTCCCCCCTTTTCCATTTTTTGTACACATCCTTTTTTAATCTTAACTCAGTTAAAAGTTCTTTACATAGCCACCCTGGCTTCTTTAGGCACCTTCCATGTTTCTGTCTCATTGGTATTGCCTGACGTTGTGCTTTTAGTATCTCCCTCTTAACAAACTCCCAGCCATCATGAACTCCCTTTCCTTTTAGTATTACTGTCCATGGGATCTCACCCAGCACTTCCCTAAGTTTTATGAAGTCAGCTTTCTTAAAGTCAAGAAATTGAGTCCTAGTATGCTTGGCTGCTCCTTTCCGCTGTATAGTAAACTTCAGAAGAGCATGATCACTTGCACCTAATGATCCTTCCACTTCTACCCCACTAACCAGGTCATCAACATTGGTTAGGACCAGATCTAAAATGGCTGTTCCTCTTGTTGCTTCTCCCACTTTCTGGACAATGAAGTTGTCTGCAAGGCCAGTGAGGAATCTGTTTGACCTTATGCCCGTAGGTTTCTCTGTTTGTAGTCTGTTTCCTCGAATAAAGAATCAACTTTATTGCCTGTCTCTGAGTCTCTGTGCTGACCTGCAGCTGAACCAGCCCTGACAGATGCCAGCTTTGCTCCTTCCACCCTCTTCCATAGGAAAAGCAACTGGTTTTTTCCTCCCTAGTTTGCAGTGAAGAGATGGAGGCAGCTGGGAAATGCTGTTACTAGAGTAGAGGTGGGAAGCGCAGGGAACATATATTTTCCTCTCTGTTCAGAGCCACATTGTCTTGGGGGATAATGTGTTGGGGGTCACATGTGGGCAGGGCTGGAGTGTGGGACCAAAGCTAGTGATGGGAGGGGGGGCAGACAGGGGCAGCGCTCAAAAGCGGGCATGCCACATCCTTTCCACTCTCTTCACACACTCTCACGGATTGCTTTCAGAAGGCTTTCCCCTCCTCCTTCCATCCATTTTGGTTTGCCCTCTTGCCACTCTCCTCCTCTGGGCTGCCCTTGCCTACCTGAAATCAAGCTACAGGTTTTGCATCCCCTGCCTGGACTCATTAGTCTCATCACAGGCAGATGCTCCAGCGCAGTGGGAAGATATCAGGGAGGGTGATCTTACAGCCCCAGCTAACTCCAATTTCTATGGAAAATACCCCGCATTAAGCAGAAGTGAAACTTCAAAATGAAATGTCAAAGGGAAAGTACAGCCCTTGATCTCACACTTCGTAGCTCAGGCCAGCATTTAGAGAACACCTGCTGAAAATGGGGAATAATTAGAGAAAATTCATGTTGATAATTACAGAACCCAGCAGCTCGTGCATGCTGTAACAGAGTCCAGAGGAAAAAAACACACACAGCCATAACCACTGTCCTGAGAAGTGAACCAATTCTTGCATATCTTAATTGGCCTTCATGGACTGGAGGAAGAGAGAGTTGTATGTGGGGGTTACTTTGCTTATCCTGAAATTATCTGACCAGAAATAGTTGTCTCTGAGTTCCTGACCTGCCAACATTATATGCATTCCAGAGGGCCACGTTCTAAACTATAACAGACATTGCTGAACACAACCTGACAAAATGTAATAACCCTTAAGCAGCTTTGCAGGGCAAAGCCAGCCATCCTTCCGGGATGAGGCAACCTGGTTAATGAATTGTAATGTTTGGTGGCAGATGGGAGCAGAGCAGGTTGGAGTCTTGTTAGCCCACCTCCGATCTGTCTTCCTGAAATGTCTTGGCACACTTTTCACACCAACAAGGTTTCTCATCTTTAGGATGGAAACTGACTTTTCTCTCTGTTAGTCCTCTAAAAAAAACCCCACACATTTCCCTTTCAGTGTACTTGAACATATTACGGTACAGCATGGAGCTCGGCACTAACCCCAAAATATTCCTATGTAAAAAGCTATTTCTTGGCTTTCTATCATATCCTGGTCCAGAGAAGGGAAGAGCAGGGAGGAAGGGAGATAGAGAGGGAAAGGAAAGGAAAGGAAAAGAAAGGAAAGGGGGCTGTCTAAGAGAGAGAGTGTAGCACCCTGCTTGTGGTTAACGCTTAGCTGGAATGAAATATTCAACGCAGCAATAGAGAAATTAAAATAATAATTTATTTGTCAGACAAATAAATGAGAGACACAGTGGTATATGGATACCAAAGCTCTGCCTACTCCAGCCCTGATGGCCAGCACTTATATTTCCTCAGCCCAGCCCCCTTGCTCCTCCTTTGGCTGCCTCTATCCAATCAGCCTGGTTGAAATTCCTATTGGTTGTTTGCTAGAACCAATCATAAAAGATACACCCATTTCCTATTTCCTTTTATGGGAGACAAAGAGCTATATTTCCTTGTATCCATAAATGGCAGACAAGTAGCCATATATCTTACATTTACCTCGACCAGGCACCTCAATTACCAGATAACCTTTGGCCCCTGTTGCCCTATTCACTGCAAACCAGATGGCTAAAGCAGATGGTGCATGGTTTTTATTTTTTTTTATCTTAAAGAGATCTTGAGTTCACCTTCTCACCCACCATAATAAGAATCTAACATAAGAATCTAACATTTCTTACTTTCTAAATCCTTTGCATACTTACATTTAAGCCAATATATTTCATACATAACATAGATAGATTTTTAGAAGGAAAGGCCTTTTCAAATTAAAGGAATTTAGTAAAAGCTAAGTTCTCTAAGTTCTCTAAGTTCTCTAAATTCTCTGAAGCTTCAAAACAGCTTGGAGAGAAGCCTTTTTCCCTAACCAGCTGCTGTTCCTAAAAGCAACCTCTTCAATTTAACCTTTAACCTTATGGCTCGAGTCTTCTGTTAAACAATAAATTTCACTATTTACCAGCTCTTAATTGTGTTTTTGCAGCTTGATTGTATTCTGGTCAGTGTGACCTTTTTGCTCTCAGCCTGTAATTTCCTTTTACAACCCTGAAATACTTTTTACAACCCTGAAATACTGCTATTTATAGCAGTGGGGCCCTTGAACAGCTGCCAGAGTATTCAGCTGGTCTCTCCCTGGCATGAAAGATATAAATATTTACAAATATATTTTTTAAGCTCAAAGCAGATCTTGATCAGATGCCTCAAGAGAAGGGGTGTCAGAGAGAGAGAGGAAAGGAAGGGTGAGAGGGGGTGGAAAGGGCAGTCAGAGAGAGAGAGAGAGAATAAGGAGTGGCAGAAAGAGACAGCAAGACAAAGAAAAGGTTACCACACCTATTTTTGGCTCTGGACACACCTACTGCCAGTGTGAAATTCCTGACAGATTTTACCCAAGGAAATGTGTCCCTCAACAGTAAAAGTTTGCCTACAGTTGCTCTGGTGTAACAACCTGGCATAAAGCAAGGAACAAAACTCAGTTGAAGGCTATGTGGATAAAAAAGCCCTGAAGAGATATTATTTGTAAGTGACTCCCAAGGATGTGCTTCTTTAAGACAGGCTGAAGTCTGGGACTAGTATTGGGCCAGAAAGAAAGACCTGGGAGCAGGCAGTGGCAAACTTGGGGCTTTCAAATTTCAGCAGCGCCCTGTGAGACACCAAAATTCCGTGCCCCCCACCTCTTGCCTTCCATTCTACATTGTTGTTGCAGTGCCTCCTGTGGCTCCCTCTTGGCTCAGTGCCCAGTGTAGGCAAATCAGTCGCACATCCCTAAATCTGCCTCTGGAAGGGGCAATATCAGGCCGCCAGGCCTGGGGCTCCCACCCCTGATGTATGCCATATTGAGCTACATGTTGTGATCCTCCTTGGTGGAAGGTAGCCTTATACCTCACAGGGTTGTTATGACTGGGAGGATTACGTTGGGGGGTGTGAGAGATCTGTGTCTTCCACCCTCAGCTCCTTGGAGGAAGGACAGGCTAAAAATATAATAATTGTTAAGGATAACTATGAAAAATGCTGGTTGGAAGTGAAAAAGGATTTAGAAATATGGTCAAATCTGAAGTTATCATTGCTAGGCCGAATTGCTGCGATAAAAATGAATGTATTGCCAAGGATGCTGTTTCTGTTCCAAACATTGCAAATTTTGGATAAAATGGATTGTTTCAAGAAGTGGCAGAGAGATATTTCTAGATTTGTCTGGCAGGGCAAGAAGCCTCGAATAAAATTTAAGATATTAACCGATGCTAAAGAAAGAGGTAGATTTGCCCTGCCAGACCTTAAACTTTATTATGAATCGGCCGCGTTTTGCTGGCTGAGAGAATGGCTGCTTCTTGAAAACACTGATGTGTTGGACCTAGAAGGTTTTAACAACGTATTTGGGTGGCATGCATATTTGTTGCATGATAAGATTAAAGCACAAAGCGTTTAAAAACAATATTGTCAGAAAAGCACTGCTTAATGTCTGGATAAGATATAAGGACTTGCTTGAAAATAAAACCCCAAGGTGGCTGTCACCAATGGAAGCGAAGGCTCAGAAAAAGCTCAATATGGAGGCCAATTGGCCGAAATATTGGGAAATTTTGGAACAAGAGGGAGACAGATTAAAATTGCAGAGTTTTGAAAAACTAAAAAATAGAGTGCGAGATTGGCTCCATTATTACCAAATAATGGAGGCGTACAATTTGGATAAAAAAAATTGGCTTCCAGGTGGAAAAATCAAAATTGGAAACAGAACTGTTAGATCCCCAAACTAAGAACTTGTCAAGAATGTATAACTTGCTGTTGAAATGGAATACTCAGGATGAAACGGTGAAATCTGCTATGATTAAATGGGCACAAGATGTAGGACATAATATTATGATGGCTGACTGGGAACAGTTATGGACCACAGGTATGAAGTTTACGGCTTGTAATGCCCTAAGAGAGAATATAATGAAAATGATCTACAGGTGGTACATGACACCAGTCAAGCTTGCAAAAATATACCACTTGCCCGATAATAAATGTTGGAAATGTAAAGAGACTGAAGGCACGTTTTTTCACCTTTGGTGGACGTGCCCAAGGATTAAGACATTCTGGGGGATGATTTACAATGAAATGAAAAAGGTATTTAAATATACCTTTCTGAAGAAACCAGAGGCCTTTCTCCTGGGCATGGTCGGCCTATTGGTGCCAAAAAAAGATAGAACTTTTTTTATGTATGCCACAACAGCAGCAAGAATACTCATCGCGAAGTATTGGAAGACACAAGATCTACCCACCCGGGAAGAATGGCAGATGAATGTGATGGACTACATGGAACTGGCGGAAATGACTGGCAGAATCCGAGACCAGGGAGAAGAGTTGGTGGAAGAAGATTGGAAGAAATTTAAAGTTTATTTACAGAAACATTGCAAAATTAAGGAATGTTAGAAGGATGTTGGAATGAAATAATGCGGTTTTAGCAGAAATGCTATAAAGGATTAATAGA